ACCAAATTTAAAATTACCTATTGCAACAATTAAAAGAATCTGTTAAGATCCACATCATACTTTAGAAAATATTCAACCATGATACATTACTATTGTTCTAGGATCTGCAGAAACCCCTATCTCGGTACCAAATTTAAAATTACCTATTGCAACAATTAAAATAATCTGTTAAGATCCACATCATACTTTAGAAAATATGCAACCATGATACAATACTCTTGTTGTAAGAATCTACTAAAACTAAGCAAACCGTAACGTACACAAGAATCACGCGTATATTAAGTTTTTTTTTTTTTACGAGGACTTAATGTAAACCAAACATGCCACGTTTAATCTAATAATACAACTGTAAGTCATTACGGTTATCACAGGAGCTGTTCTAGTTTATATATGTAAGAAACCATTGCAATTTCTGAGATGACCCATCGTGGGCACGCTTCTGTTATTGTGCGCATAACTATTTAGTATCCTGGTGCTTTACAATTTTACGAACATTGTTTTCACTTGATACACATTGAAGTTCATTTAATACCATAAATCTTTTGTTGTTTTTGGAACACTGAACATGCCGATTAATTTCACTTCGGGACTTGTGACAGAATGAACACTGTAGTGACTCTTGTCAGAACGAACAACAATACGAAAAACAACAACTTAAGTATAAGAGTCCTCGAATTTAGTAGACCGTGGAAAATTTAATAAACTAAGGCAATGTAATGTTTATATGTGCTGTAACTTAGGCACCCGTGTTCACGTCTCTTTCTACAAACGTGTTGACTTTCATCTTCTTTGGTGAATATCGCCCTGAAGGAACTATTTATAGAAGAATTGCACAAATCCATATCTATTTATGCACGCAGATAATCTCTAATGATATCGCATACATGTTTTTTTTTTTTAAGTTTATTTGTCCTTTAAGCGCTAGACGGCGCTTTTTCGTAACGGCAAAGAAGATATGCAAACACGGAGAGTATTTAGTTTCACTGAACATATATTCTTGGGAAATGGGCAAACAGCCCAAGGCAATGCGAACCGAGCACCACTACTAACAGCTTGTGCTAATAATTGCCTACTGTACTCCAGTAAATAGGTTTTCATTTTATCATGGTAACGCTTTCTATATACCGAAGCTTCACTTATCAGTTGTGAAGAAAATTGAATAAGCATACTTTCTCGATGAGAAAGGCATTTCTTCTATAACATAATGAACTCAGCTCCTTTTAAATCTGTATGATACGAGAAAATGAGATTTTGTGAAGCTATACGATAGCAATAAACAAGTAGACTGACAGACAGACAAATAGATAGTCGGAGTGCATAGCCGTATCTCATACTGAGTAGAATACATAAACTTCATAAAATTAAAATTCAGATGTACATAACAGTACTAATTTCGTTGTTCTTTCGGCATGCGTATACTGAGATAATTGTCATAACACTACCTGATTTGTAAATGACACAACATTATATGTAGTTGTATTATCTTAATAGCATATTTTGTTGAAATTATCACAACAGCAACTTTGATAGTGAGCATCATAATGACATTTTTAGTTGTTCGAATATACATTGAAAATCTGAACATCGAAATTTCTTCACAAAAATCGTCCAGATTTTCATATTTTTAGTCATTTCGGGCAATTCAGTTCTAACCAAGTGTCAGAGTTAATATGAGTTCCCATAAGTGTGAAATTTGCACATCTTAAAAAGGTGCCAGTGTTAGCATAACTTAACACAAATATTTTACTCACATCTTAAACAAGTACTAGTGTTAGCATGAGTTCACACGCATATGAGTTTTACTATACTGTCTTAAGCAGATGCTAATGGTGGCGTGAGTTCTCACGAATGTGAGGTTTATAACTTGTTTATTGCCGTTTTTAATCCAAAACTACTTTATTATTCGTAAGAAAGATACAGATTGTGTTTCGACTACAGAGTGTTACAATGAGCCATCTAACAAACAAACTTTCAGCTCTTGGTGTGTTATAAAAGTAACAGTTAATCCCGATATTTGTTAAAAGTAGCCACGTAGGCGGTGAGTGATGCTAAATGGTTAATCTCCTTCTGATCAGCAGTTCTAAATTAGGAATGTCTATGATTTATTCATGAGGTCTCTGAACTATCCGCTTAGGCTATGTGTCGCATAAGGTGTGGTTCAGGTTTAGGCTATGTGTCGCATAAGGTGTGGTTCAGGTTGATAATACTAAATACCTTGTCACCTCTGTGTACCGATTATATCAACTGAAGAAATTACCGCGATGAAACTTGCAAATTAAAATTACTGTTAGTGCTTTTTACGAAGTCTAATAGGGTAAATAAATTACAAGGGCATTCATAGACAAAATAAACTGTTTTTGTCAAAACCTTGCCACTAGAGAGCACGCATTCTAATTTACAAAGAAACTAAACCTACTGTGATTGTTTCGAAATAAATAAATTAGAGACTGAGTCTCATATGTTTGTTTTAATACTGAGTTAAAATAGCGAAATAAAACGATTTATAACAGTCTCTATCCAAACTGTTATGATCAATACTTTTCATTGGTAAGTACTTTTCAAGTAAGTACATATAATTTACATTTTATCATTCAAATAAATATATAATTAGAATCAGTTCCACAACCTTCATAAAATTCTGATTGCCCAATAATTGTTAACTAAGCTTTCATTAACCAGGTGATATTTTACATACAATTTTATAAGTTCTTACCAAATCCTTTACACAAAAATGTAACCGTAATATCGATGCACATACGAAGTATGAGATTCACTTACAGGTAGCTGCTGGTGAGTACAGGGATAACGGCATATGCATGGGAGGCGGCCGTGACGGACCGACGGTGCCAGCAGAAATGGAGAGCGGACAATGATAACAGAACATACCGAACAGAAGAGATAAGTCGATCGCTTTCACGGAGTGGTGAAACAAATCTGTGAAAGATTTTTAGATTAGTTAAATAAACAAGTATAAACATACATTTGTTATTAATGAACAAATTTATAAACAAGTATAAACATACATTTGTTATTAATGAACAAATTTATAAACAAGTATAAATATACATTTGTTATTAATGAACAAATTTATAAACAAGTATAAACATACATTTGTTATTAATGAACAAATTTACAAACAAGTATAAATATACATTTGTTATTAATGAACAAATTTATAAACAAGTATAAACATACATTTGTTACTAATGAACAAATTTAACTGAAATTTACAAGCATTTCTATGTATTTTTGGAAAACTTATTTCTTATAATTGACCCAAGGAGACAGCGTATTTGAGGTTTAAGGAGTTTTACAGTGCTCTATTTCAAGTTATTTACAAAACACTCGAAATACTAGAGATAAAATAACGTATTTCCTACAAAATGAGCATTTGTAAGGATTGATACAAAAGTTATGACGCAATAGTAACGCGTCCCCTCCCTCCCAGGAGACCGGAAACATTCATCTCAATGTGCTTTCAATAACTGGGGATCATAGAACAGATAGGAGAATGAAATATTTCACCGCGTTTTGTTTACAATAACTGGAGATTATAGAACAGATAGGAGAATGAAATATTTCACCGCGTTTTGTTTACAGTAACTGTGGAACAGACAGGAGACAAGAAATTCCATAGGTTTGTGGCTACAATAACTGGAGATTATAGAACAGATAGGAGAATGAAATATTTCACCGCGTTTTGTTTACAGTAACTGTGGAACAGACAGGGGACTAGAAATTCCATAGGTTTGTGGCTACAATAACTGGAGATTATAGAACAGATAGGAGAATGAAATATTTCACCGCGTTTTGTTTACAGTAACTGTGGAACAGACAGGAGACAAGAAATTCCATAGGTTTGTGGCTACAATAACTGGAGATTATAGAACAGATAGGAGAATGAAATATTTCACCGCGTTTTGTTTACAGTAACTGTGGAACAGACAGGAGACTAGAAATTCTATAGGTTTGTGGCTACAATAACTGGAGATCATAGAACAGATAGGGGAGTAAAATCTTTCACCGCGTTTTGTTTACAGTAACTGTGGAACAGACAGGAGACAAGAAATTCCTTAGGTTTGTGGCTACAATAACTGGAGATTATAGAACAGATAGAAGAATGAAAGATTTCACCGCGTTTTGTTTACAGCAACTGTGGAACAGACAGGAGACTAGAAATTCAATAGATCTGTGGCTAAAATGACTGGAGATTATAGTACAGATAGAAGACTAGAAACGTCCATCGCTTTGTTTCTTTGTAACTAATTGATGTGTAAGATATAGTTTTCACAAGTTGACCACAGTATCCAAACTTTTTAGATATTATAAAAATCAATGTAGCTTCTCTAATGAGATAAATATAATATTTTGGGGACAATAAACATAATATATCTCCAGTTACAAGAAACCCGTATTTTTGCTACAGACCTGCGACCTGAGATCTAAAACGTGTCTTGTTTAAAACAAATAGTTGTACAATTTAAATGATTTGTATGAATATACTACATAAATTACGAAATTTATCTATATATTATTGTATAGATATGTAAAACACGGAATTGAATTTAAATTTATAGACAGTAGAAAATAACTGAAATAAGCGTGTGTGTAGCTATGTAATTATTGAGAAACACATAGAAATTTAATGTAAGTTATTAGTAGGACTAGTGAATTTCAATGTCTTAATTTTATGATTGTCGAAGAGATTTTTTTTTAATCCACGGATTAGGTTGGTCATTTCGTTGTATTCGTTTTTTACGTACAGTGTATTAAGATAAAAAGATAAGAAAAAACAAACAAAAAAATAGAATTTCTTGAAGCTTCAAGGCAGCCATATCTGTCAAGCACAAAGGTAAGTAAACATAGCTTATGTTTTAGTGTCTCGTTAGCGTATAGTTTCCTCACGTTACGAGCTTACAAGCGAACGTAACCTACTTCCGTGTATTTGGTTATCTTAATATAGATATCTGCAAGGAAGGTAAAGCGACATAGTTTGATCCGAATTAAGTTAAGTGACAAAGTTTGTTTCAATGGAAGTAAAGCGATATAAGATTGTTCCAAAGGAAGCAAAGAGCAGTTTTATTTTCCCATAGAAACTGAAAGTTTATTTCAAAGGAAGAAAAGCGCACATTGTTTCAAACGAATTAAAGTGACATATTTTGTTTCAAAGAAAGTTGTCACTTAAATTCTTTAGGGTCAAGCTATGTGTCTCACTTTACTTCCTTTAGAACAAACTATGTCACTTAAATTCTTTAGGATCAAGCTATGTGTCTCACTTTACTTCCTTTAGAACAAACTATGTCACTTAAATTGTTTAGGATCAAGCTATGTGTCTCATTTTACTTCCTTTAGAACAAACTATGTCACTTAAATTGTTTAGGATCAAGCTATGTGTCTCACTTTACTTCCTTTAGAACAAACTATGTCACTTAAATTGTTTAGGATCAAGCTATGTGTCTCACTTTACTTTCTTTAGAACAAACTATGTCACTTAAATTGTTTAGGATCAAGCTATGTGTCTCACTTTACTTCCTTTAGAACAAACTATGTCACTTTTAGTTTGTTCCAAAGAAAGTAAAGTGAGACACATAGCTTGATCCTAAACAATTTAAGTGACATAGTTTGTTCCAAAAAAAGTGAAGTGAGACACATAGCTTGATCCTAAAGAATTGAAGTGACATAGTTTGTTCCAAAGAAAGTAAAGTGAGACACATAGCTTGACCCTAAAGAATTTAAGTGACATAGTTTGTTTCAAAGAAAGTAAAGTGAGACACATAACTTGATCCTAAACAATTTAAGTGACATAGTTTGTTCCAAAAAAAGTAAAGTGAGACACATAGCTTGATCCTAAAGAATTTAAGTAACATAGTTTGTTCTAAAGAAGGTAAAGTGAGACACATAGCTTGATATATATAAAGTGATATATATATAGCTTGAACCTAAAAAATTTAAGTGACGTAGTTTGTTCCAAAGACAATAAAGTGATATATATATATATATATATAGCTTGAACCTAAAGAATTTAAGTGACATAGTTTGTTCTAAAGGAAGTAAGCGATATGCCAGAGATGTAAAGAGACACTATTTGTTCCAAAGAAAGTAAGCGATGGGCCAGAGACGTAAAGAGACATTATTTGTTCTAAAGGAAATAAGCGACAGGCCAGAGACGTAAAGAGACATTATTTGTTTCAAAGGAAGTAAGCGACATGTTTCTTTCGTGAGAATCATTTAAAATTAACACCAGTCATGTAGGTAACTTCAATGCGATTAAAATTTAACACACACATACACAAATTTAAGTTTCTATCTGCCTAGATGCTGAAATCTCTTTCAACTCAAAGTCAATTATGAAATTTCGTAAAATTGATTATCGTATTTCAATTTCACTTTTTTGTTGCTCTAATAATAATATGAGATTTATCGAGTTGCTCAAACTTCTCCAATAATTCTTTTCTTTAATTGCACAATTTCTGTTGAATAGAAAAACAATGAAGCAGAATATATAATACTTATACATCAATGCATTTGAAGACTTCTAAAATACGTTATATAAAAAAATAATAGTTTCAACGGAATCTTTGGGTGTTGTGAAACATCCTGACAGATCAACTTTGATATTGAGGAAAACGCCATATATTCAGCATCATAGTTAAAAGTAAAGTTAAAAAGTTATTACACTCTCTTCTTAGAGGAAAACCGTAGAGGGACAGTAGAGAAAGGCATTATTAAAATTATTAGTTGTCTTATTGCAATCCTCCATTAAAAGTCATATATGAATGCAAGTCTTTATTGTGGATATCAATATTGTAAAGCATTCTTCAACCACTATTGTAAATATCAGTAATCTTGTTTTTTAATGAAATTGCAGAAAATAATTTTTTTGTCATTTAATTACACATTCCTAAAAACCGGTTTCAAGACTAAATATTTTCAAATATGAAAAACATATTCTATGCTTAGTTTTTTATTATCTCACGAACAAACTCCAAATGCACCTTATTATTGCAAAAGAAAAAATTGGCAAATATCTTTAGACAAACATTCATGAAGTATTTTCTTGTGAAATTATGTAAGACATTATTTAACTCAGAAAACACACACATACATTAATTTAAACGTTTCAAAGTGTTATCACTTGGATTTTTTTTCTGATTATTAGTTTTTGTAATAGCAGAGTGATGAAAGAATACATGTAAAAATCATAAATATCTCATGTCTAACAAAAAAATAGAATTATTACACTTGACGATGCTCTAACGCAGAAATGTGTGCACATAGCATAAATATAATTTTGGCTGTAATATTTCAACTACTATTGACTAGTGTTATTCATTTTACCTATTAATAGTTATATTTTGCATTGCTAGCTAAGTTTATGAAATTAGGACTATTTTGTTTGTTTGTTTATATTGTTGTTAGTTATACAATGGGCTAACTGTGTTATGCCCACCGCAGGTATCGACACCCGATATTTAGAGATATAAGACATCAGTCATGCCGCTGAGCTATTGGGAGGCAATTAGGACAAATCCAAGTCTCTTACGTTGGCTGGATCTCGTAATATGTCATTGGGTTTATGTTTAAAAGCATCCTTATATCAAAGATACTCATCTGATGATGATTCATTGCATCCTTATCATTAAAAGTTTCAGTTTTCGGCTGTATTGATTCATTACACCAGGTGCGTATAGTATGTTTCATATACATTATTCTTTCTATTAATTTTAGTCTTGAGCTATATTCTTAGCTTGCTTTTGATCAGAAGTTATTTAAAAAGTTAAATATAAAGTAGATGGTGTATTATCCCAAACCATTTTACTGTAGCATTTTCAAAGGAATGAAAAAACTTAAAAGCTTTTCCATCGCAATCTCAAATGCACTGTTTCTACTGAAAACCCTTTACTGGTCAGTCAAAAATCTCTGTACTCCCAGAT